TCAGTGCCTATTTCTGGACTCTAAACCATTAATTTATTTCGGTATCATGGCTCTGTCCCCTACAGTGATGATTTTCCTAAATGTTGATGAGGTTGTCAGTCGTGAACTCGCGTTTAATCAACAGTAAACGGATACAACTTCTTCGATTTGAGCTCATCTCGCTGAATCGACCCATTTTTTCCGCGAAGCTGGAAGTCCTTGAGTGTTACTGTTCGCTTTCGATTACCCTCTGAGTTTTCCCTATACAATGCTTATCTGCCCTTGCAATTTTGTCAACCGACACTGTAGCAGTTGAAATTGACATCCCTCGGAAAAACCATTATTAACTTCCGCTGACGCGTCGGTTGACAATGGTTTTCCTTGAAGTGTCAATTTCAATTGTAACATTCGAAAACAGGCCCTTTGACATGTAGTGTACATTTATACGTTTCATTGAATTTGGAAAACCCCGATTTATCTCTCTTTGCTCAATAGTAAGGGTCTATAAAATTCAACTATTCATTACCGTCTTCCTTGGAAGACGCTATTGTATAGTTGAAGTATTTTACAGTCTTCGGACTATGCACTTCCTCTCTTTTGTGATTGGTAGAAAATGCATGATGAGAAATTTTTCAATTATTTCATTGGTTGAAATGCTGTTCAAGGCAAGGGAGATAACCTTCTGATGATCTAATTTTCGTACGACTAAACAATTTTGCAAGATTTTCAATCTTAAAAAGAATTACAAAACGAACAACAAAATCAGCAGTAATTAATTCCTAATAACATGATTTTTTGTATAGCAATAAATAAAAGATCTCTTTAATTTCATTATAAATAAAATTTGATTTTTATTGCTTGCAGGCTTTACAATTTGTTATTATTCTTTTCCCCTTTCTTGTTTGAAGAAGGGAATGGAATCAGCCGAGGTTTGTCGAAAGCTCTCCGCCAGTCAAAGTTTACGGAGATGACCGAGCGACAACCGTGGTAGGGCTAATGCCAGTAAAAAGCTAATGTAGAAATACAAAATCAAGAAATTCAAAAGAATTATACGGCCTCATAGGTGTAGATCAGTTTACTGTTTAAGATTGTTGCTAAAGACGGTAAGCTTTTTTAAAAAGCTCTACTTGTTATGTATAATACATCGGTGAAAAGGTATCGTTCAACTTGAAATATTACAGTGAAATAAAACACGTTTCTGTAGTTAAGTTTACAATTTTGGAAATATTCATTGTATTTTACATTACCTTGACCTGTTAATTTTCAATTCAATAAAGGGGAAAAGCCAGACCATCTTTTATTTATAAATTTTATCTCAGAAAAATATTTCAGCATCGTGTCATTCTCAGCGTTGCTTTGGGAACTTGGTTGGGAAATGTACATTCATGTATTTATTATGTAATGTTATAAAAATCAAAGTCAAAATGTTAGAGGTGTTCGATAACGTTTGCAGCATTATCATTCACCCGCAATAAAGCATTTTATGTAGAGGTAGTAAGAATTTTTGGTAGTAATGCATGTATGTACATCTATGTTTCTTTTTCTTTGTTTGATTTTTGTAAAAAAAAAAAAAAAAATTCTCGTTAATTAAGTTTCATTGTTTGTGCTTTACCTATGTTTCTCTTTGCTTTTTGCATGTTTTCGTTTCTTTTCTTTCTCTAGAATTCAGGTCTAGGGAACCACTCCAGTCAAAAAATAATTTTGATCGACTTAAAGTTAAAAGAGGGGTAAAAATAAATCGCATATAATTTTTACCATTCTTCGTCTTTTCTTTTAAACCATTTAATTTTTTTTTGCAATTTTTTTAATCGTCAAAAAAAACCATATAAGAGATTTTTACAATAAATGTTAGAAGAAATTGCAACACAAAGCTTTAAGGCAATTAACAAAAGTACATTACCTATAAACACAAAAATGAGGACCGGAAAAACTATAGGTAGCAGACAAATTTGGTTGTACACGAATTGGAGAACTTGGAATCGTCCATATTTGCCCAAAGAACGCAAAATTTCATCCAAGTCTTGTGTTATTGCCATTTTGTAGAATCGTGTATAGTGAAAATCCGAGACTAACGCAATATTATAGTGTCATATAAATAGGTGAATTGTTTTCTTAGTCACGTCGTTACTTAGCGGTATGCTGCAACTCATTGTCCGTTTTCGTATGTGCGGTCATTCTCTTTTTCTGTATCTCTAAGTGAAATAATGTAATTAATGTAAAAAAAATTCATACAATTTTTCTTTTTTCAATAAGCTTTTGATATTGTATCATACAGGTATTTTGAAGACCTTGGAAATGTGAAGTATTCTTTCAAAACAAGCAAATTCAAAGAATTGTGGTCTCCCGCTTTTAGTGTTTTAGTGGATGGAATGCCATTGTATATAGCACATTGTATCAAATGTGAATGCACTATCATATGCCATACAAAAACATCATCAATAATTAGGTCAAACATGAAGGTCAAGGTCAAAGGGTCAAAACTCGCAGTGTATTTAGAAAGGTCTTGTCACTGTGAAATATGAAAAATAAAGCTCAAAGGTCCATTAAACAAAACAAAAATGAAGCAAACACGGACCACCAAAATACACATGTATAATATGAAAGCCCTATCTCTTCTCATTCAAAAGTTATTACCAAAGTTCCATTTTTTTAATTTTTCATTCAAATGTTATGACCAAGGTTCAGTAAGAGGACAGACGAATGAGATTCGATCTCCCATCGCTTTCGCGAAAGCAGGGGACAATAATTTTCCCTTGCCATTCAGGGCCTTCAACCAAAATGAAATGTCTGAAATTCAATGAAATAAAAACTAAACACATATTGTTCCATAGCAATGTCATTGCCCACGTGGCGCAGTGGTAAGATTGTCTGCTTCAGAGTTCTGAAGTAAGGACTTGATCCTTACGTCGCAGGTTCAAATTCACAGCGGGACATAGAGACCAGTCCTTCGGATGAGACTTTGTAACTCGAGGTTCCGTGTCGCTGTAAGTGCTGGCACGAAACAGATCCCTCGATCACTGGTCAGTGGCCCTGGGTGCCGAGCATAGATTAAAATCTGCAGCCCTTCACAGCAAGTGGTGGCGTCTCCATATCAGTAAAAATTTCCCGAGAGGGACATTACCCAAAATACATGTACAAACCAGCTATTTTAGCAAAGTCGTGAAGTTATAAGCAGACAGTTATATGTCAGAATATAAGGACATACGCAAGGTACCTTACCTACCGATAATTTTTCAAGATTTTATCAATTTAATGTTATGGTACCATTACATGTTCCTAGACAAAAAATCAGCATGCGTTACCAGGCGTTTTGAACAGATATCAACTTTTGAAAATTTTTGCATTATTCAAAGAAAAATATACAAAAGATACAAAACATCAATTCCAGAATTTTTCCTATCAAAATGTGTTTTAGAAGTTGTGTACAATCCATATATAGACATTAAAAGGTACTTCATTTAGTGGAACTCTTCAACTCGATGCAAAGAATATCCCAATAAAGTTCAAACAAAATTGCTTATGACCTTAAAGGTTCAAATTGTCTGGTTTTCGTAGCCTGGTACCCGATACCATCCGAAGTATCTGTCTCAGTGTCTGACGTTTTTGTCCCCCGCTTGAAAAGTGGGGGATATTAATTTGGGTTTGTCCGTCCGTCCGTCCGTCTTTTTGTCTGTCTGTAACGCTTTCGTTTCCACACGATATCTCAAGAACCCTTTGAGCTTTTGCAATGAAATTTAGCATACCAACTCCCTATGGACTAAAGAAGACCCCTATTGATTTTGAGGTCAAAAGGTCAAAGGTCAAGGTCATAAATAAGCAAATTCTGCTATAACTCTTTCGTTTCCACACGATATCTTTAGAACCATTTGAGCTATTGCAATGAAATTTTACATAACAACTCCCTGTGGCCTAATGAAGACCCCTATTGATTTTGAGGTCAAAAGGTCAAAGTTCAAGGTCGTAAATTTATACATTCTGTCTGTGTGTAACACTATCATTTCCGGGCGATATTTCAAGAAGATTTTGAGCTTATGCAATGTAATTTTATACCAAAACTCCCTAGGACGTCTCTCGCCCCTCTCAAAGTGCCCCACCCCGTTTGTTTTATTAGTATTTATAGTATTACATGTCGCTATTTTTAGCGCAGGGGCATGAGGAGAGTTATCGCGTATAAAACAGGTTCTCGGCGGACTTTATGTTCTTATTACATCTATTAGAACTGTTTAATAAAGGCTAAATAAATCAAACACCATGGATTGTGTAAAATTTTGAGAATATCGAACCGGTCATCAGGGGATGCTCACTCCTCCATGGCACCTGATCCCACATCCGATTTTTTGGAGGTCCTTGTTTGCTTTGCTCCTATTTTGTATTGTTTTATGGACTTTTGATCTTGAACAGTGTTCGTTACCTCCATATGTTTCATTTAAAAGACAGGGTTTAAAAAATAACAACCCATATGCAAAATAGTTTTTTTTCAAAATATTTCAAATTTCACTGTATTTTTGTAACAAAAATATCTTATAACATGTAATAAATAATACACCAGGACCAATGAAAATAGTAAATATAAGTAATTTTATCCATTTCAAATGAAATAGCATAACGAAGAAAGTACCCAACTAAGACCTTCGGCTGCATACCCGCCTCCTTTTAAGAAACCTGACTCTGATCTGGTCCCATACTTTAATTTTTTTTTTGGAGAGTTACCATATTCACTATATTTGCAAATTGCTTAAAACGCTGTCCCCTTTGCTTGCCGTAGTTAGATCGATGGAAGATTTGATTCTTACGTTGCGGGTTCGAATCACACTGCAGGACATGGAGACTGGTTTTTTTCGGATGAGACCACATGAACGAGAAGGTACTAGTATTGTCATGAAAAAGATCCGTCAATGGCCCTAAATGCCGAGTAAAGGACAAAATTTGCAACCCTCTATCAGCAAGTGGTTGCCCCACACTGTGAGAGTAGTACTCTCGAAGAAACATAAAAATACCAAACAAATAAATAAAATAAAACATTATGATACACGTACTATTCTTCAGGTTCAGGGTCATTTTTCAACATTTTTTTTCAATTTCAAATTTTTTTTCAAGCTGTATGTCTATATTGATAAAGATTCATCAATGATGCCCTTAGCGGTATACACACAGTATAATGTCTGTATGAAGTGAAACATAAGTGATTTAACAGTTGTTGATTAGACAGACTTTGGTGGGTTGTCCAAATCATTAACGGTTGTAGGTAACAATTTGCCTTTCGTTTCCGGTAACCACAAGAAAAGGAACGCAACAATCAAGCACAAAGTTCCAAATGTTAACCCTGGTCCCCAAGGCACGTGTAGAGCCTAAAAATAAAAAAATCTTTCTGATTTAAAACGAAAAACAGTACATAAATCGTGTGTATATTTGTATACATACAAACGCGCATGCGCATACATTTATTAACCACAACAGCTCTTAAATTATAAATATTCAAAAATTTTAATAACTTTCAAATTCACGGCGTAGACAAATCTTTGTGTCAAAAAGGCAGACAAACAAATAATACTGACAGTTGAACACTTACGAAAGAGGAGGCAAATGGCGATAAAATGGACCCAATCCGACCAGCTGTGGACGACAGACCAAGGCCTGTGCTTCTACAAAATCCCAAAGAAATGTCGATATTTTGATTGATTATTGGTGTTGTATGCCGAGTCTGAAATATTTCAGCCATATTTCGCCGATCTATATTTTGAAGTATATGTCACCAAAACGGCTACATGTAGCTTTATTGATCTCTGACACTCACCTTAAGTTGGCACATGTAGGATACCGTCAAAGTGGGCTACCTTCATTGATCCGTACCTTAAGTTTGTAAGATAACATCAAAGTGGGGTACCTTCACTAATCTGATCCTTACCGTAGGTTGGTAGGACATACCGTCAAAGAGTGCTACCTTCACTAGTCTGATCCTTACATTGAGGGGGTAAGATAACATCAAAATGGGTTACCTTCTCTATTTCTGATCATTACCTTAGGTTGGTAGGATACTATCAAAACGGGCTACCTTTACTGATCTCTGACGCTCAGATTAAGTTGGTACATGTAACATACCGTCAAAGTGGGCAGCCTTTACTCATCCTTACCTGAAGATGGTAAGATAACATCAAAGTGAGCAATCTTCACTGAGCTCTGACCCTTTCCTTAGGTTGGTAGAAAACTAACAAAATGGGCTTACTTCTCTATTTCTAATCATTACCTTAAGTAGGTAATATAACAACAAAGTGGTTTATCTTCACTGAGCTCTGATTCTTACCGTAGGTTGGTAGGATACAACTCTGGCGTGATGAGAAACAGACAGGAAAAAGCACCAGCAATTCCAAACATTCCTACCAGGCTAAATATCATCGAAAGGACAATAAGGTTGACTTTAAGAGATAGACGTTTTTCGTTATCAACATATTCAGCAAATATTTTGGTACATGTAACTATGAGACATTCAAGAGTTTAATTTGGTCACACATTAATTTTTTTCCATTGTTTAAATATCTTCTCAAGAGCATGAATATATTTATAAAATGTGATATGAATTGATAAAGGCAAGTTGTGTTTTTACCTGTATATTTCAAAATAAGTGCAGATGCAATGAGAAAGAATCCTGAGAGAGCGAAAAAGCCAATGGATGTATATCTTCTTCCTATCCTAAAGCAAATATAGGTCAAAATTTTTTGATTCAATTTGTATTCACGCGTGCTCTTTTTAAGTAAACTTTAAGCATTGATGGTTACGTCACTTCCGCTGAATAACTTACTTTCCGACAAGATACCAAAGAACGAACTGACTTGGAGTTTCTGCCAACGCATTTAGAAAGAAATTCAGAAATCTGTTTCCTGATAAACTACTGGACATCAGGTACAGGGCGTAATAAGACAGACTGACGACAAACCTAGTTAAATAACAACAAAAATATATTTAACTTTTATAACATAGAGATCAACATGTAAAATTTTCTCTAGCACTTGTAAATGGTAAGAAATTTATTCTAAAAGCCCAAAATTGTTTACCAAGCAGTCCACAGGATAAAAGATAAGAATAAAACTCTTCTTTTTCGTACAATGTCGAGGATATTGTATTTTTCTTTCATCGGATCATCTTCATTGTCTGCTATTTGATGATCTGAATTCGCAAGCAGTATCTCTACTTCTTCCTTTGATGGCGTGTACAACCGTTTCAAAATCTTTTCTGGGTCCTTTTTATTCCATTTTGCTGCTCTACGTATCCAAACTTTTACCTCTTCATCTTTGCCATTCGCCACCAACCACCGTAAAGATTCGTGTTGTAACCTGATTGTTTAAACAACATTGATTAGTACAATTCTCTGTCATCCTTGGACTTTTAGTGAGGCATGGTATTCTCGAAGCTATATAACGTCTCTCAAGTTTTCATAATAACATCAGCAGCTTAAATTGTTGTTGACAACGATGAGATGACTTGACCCCACCTCTTTGCCGTAGGAAACGCTGTCGTTGGATCATTGCTTCACTCGTTGACATTCGCCCGAATTTATATCTCATGTGTACTCAGTTTTTCAACAGTGAATGAAAGGCTGTGTAAATTTCAGACGCTACATTTAATTATGTAACGTGGAGAATACCACGCCTTACTGAGAAAGTCCAAGGATAACAGAGAGTTGTACTAAATTACACGCCTCAAGGAGAAGCAAGAGGAAGTAATAACTTCAGACCCACCAATGCGTTCCAATACAATGGATGCCGATGAGACCTACAAGAAGCTGCAAGTATCTCCAAGATTGGTCTCTTAGGAGGTAGCCGAAGAGAGAGAGGGACGCCACACTCACCGCCCACATTAAAGCACCTATTAGGGTGGTGGTAGCTCTGAATTCCGCCGGAAACATTTCTATAATAAGCGAACCTTGCGCCATTTGGACCCCCTGAGTATAAATATTTCAGATGTTGTTATAATTTATACACATGAGATTTTTTTTTTAGATTTTCCACTAATTAGGAATAATTTACTTAAACTGCTTTAAACTGACCATCATTTGACATATATGTCAAGTACTAAATTAGAACAAGCTAAATTGATTACCTGTTGAAATGCACCAATAAGAAATCTTAGAATAACAAACAGTGCAAAAAAGGTGTTGAAGGCAAGGCCAAGAGAGCAGACGGTCAGAGCTATGAAACAGAAGCACGTGACTCCATGTCTGCCATTTTTATCTACAATAACAGAAAAGATGGTGGCTCCCAGCATTTGTCCCACCATGACCACAGCAGTCGACATCTGTCCCAGACTTTCTCTGTCACATATCAGGTCCCACTACAACAAAGGGCGGCATTGGTATGTAGTGTGATTGTGATAATAAATATATATTGTACAAAAATTTCTCATATCGAAGTACCAGGGACAGTCAATTTTGTTTTGCCTTAGAGGTAATTCAGTTTATAAAACGTTTAAAATCTACAGGAATTAAAATCACTTCGCGATACAATTGTTTCTTTTTACGTGTGTTCAGTGAAAAAAGTGTTTTATTTAAAATCAGTAGATATGAAATCACCTCCGTTACTGCAGTTTGTGGACCTTCGTATTTGTATCCACTTGGACAGGGGGTATCTGTAGACACCGATTTATTCAATGACGTGGTTATGTAGGTGACGTCACAAGTCTGTGGTTCCATTAGCACCGATGCATTAGAGGGCGCAGTAAAATTCTTACACTGGAAATTTGGAGGATATCCTGCAATATAAATAATTTACATAGTCAAAATGTAATTAAGAAACGCAAATTTAGCCCAATGGATCAAGCAGTTATTATGCGTGTTGTGATATTTATTCCATCTAGTACATTCAAAAAGACCAAAACAAGTTCTTCAATGTTTCTGTCTTTAACATTTTTAACCATTGAATCCAAGTTTTTCTGCCCCCGTAATCGAAGATTTCGGGGTATATAGTTTTCGCCATCTTCATCCGTCTGTCTGTCGGTTTGTCCGCAAAACCTTTACCCTTGTCCACAACTTTTGAGTGGGTAGGGCATAGAGTTTAAAATTTTCTAACTTTTTACCATAGCCATAGTTTTTGAATAGTTGGTGTAAATACTTTACATGTGTAATCGTTGTGAAAAGACCTTTCATTGGATATAAAAATATTTGACCTTTTGACCTTGACTTTAAGGTATGGCTCACTTTTAAATAACCTTGACTGTAACGTTTAACTCTTTAGCACTAGGGCTACAAATTTCACAGCTGTGTTTCTTGTAACAAGACCTTTGTTTGAATTTCAACAATTTTGACTTTGATTGACTTAGATTTTGATCCACTTTAAATTTTTTGAATCTTGACCATAACTGTTGAACTGTTAGTACTTCGGCTTAAATATTTTACAGGTGTATTCCTTGTGAGAAGACCTTCCACTGAGTACCAACAATTTTGATCTTGAAGTTTAACTTGCATTTGAGATATTTCAACCCTTGCCATTAGCTGCCATACGGGGGCATCAGTGTTTCACAGACACATTTTGTTTTCGAGAGTGTGAGATATGAAAGGAAATCGTCATGGTTTTCCGGATAATAATGACGTGGTAAAAATGCAGGGTAAATAAAAATTGAAAAGTTGTTCAACTAGCAAAACATTTTTTTGAATATGCTACAGCTGCAAATGACACAAGGACATTTTTTTCTGTAATGCGTATATTGTGTATAAAAGTAAATACATGTAATTGATGTTAAGTACCTATAAAGACGTAGATTAGGGCCGGATACGAGACCGGAAGCATCAGGAGTAGGGAGTATGCGTACTGACATATCTGGTAGGGACCGTAAGCCCCCAGCTCGCGAAGGATCACATCCACATCGGCAGACCGAATCCCCATAGTCTCAGCTGGCACAAGATTCAGACGTGGTGAGCTTCTAAGTAAAAAAAAGAGATTTTTTTTGGATACTGATTACACAATGTTTTATACTAGACACGTGCATAAGTGCACATCATGAAAAGGGTTATCAAATGTTATTAAATTATATACTTAGTATGTACCTTATTCTTAGACAAGAAACAATGTCACAGAACTAGCTTGTGATTTTTTTTAATCGGTATTAATGATTTTTGCTATTTCAATTAAAGTTGTAAAATTAATATTCATTGAAAAGGGTAAGCAATTAAGCAATCCATTTATTTTTGCATCAACTTCCGTAACGATACCTTATATGGGTCAATCGAAACATCACTCAGGCCTTTCTTGACTTGACTGAAAAGGCCTAGAGATGTTCCGATTGGAGAAGGGGTATGTCAAAATTGCATAAATAACGAGACCACATTTTTAGTTACAGTAAAACACGCTTATATCGAAGTGCTATGGAAGACCAATTTTGATCGTTATAAACGCAATTCGTTATATCCGTTAACACTAGTCTAAGATATGGTTCAAAATCACAGGGAATGAAAATCACTTCAAGAATTATGATGTCCAATTTTTTATTTAAAGCCACTTTAATTCATCTGAATTGGGGCCGTATAATGACAGAGTCGGTAAAGATAGGACTAATCCAAAACGCGATGCTAAATATTTATATATAAAGAATTTTCGTAGATTTTTTTAAGGAATCACCGTCTAGTTCGTATAGTATGCCAGTGCATCAACGAAAGTGGGAAACATGGGATAATTTGCATAACGGGCGAAGCCCGTTATGCATAAATTATCCCATGTTTCCCACTATCGTTGATGTCCCTGGCATACTATACGAACTAAACAGTGATTCCTTATATTTCCATTTCATTGTGAAATAAAACTGTAGATTTATATTTTTAAAATGTAGACATAAATTTAAATTACACGAGGACTTCCTTGCCAATTTCCATAGCCCTCGCCCACTAACGTCAAATACAAAGGCAGCCGCACGAGATTTTCATGCATATTTGGCATTCTTGGTGTCAGACACAGAGACAGATGCGCACGAGATTTGCATGCATATTATGCATCCCTAGCCCCTGACCTTTCGACCTGCCTAATTTACATTCCGGCAGATTTATCAAGAAATTAATTCCGCTAAGTTTCAAAGAGTTATCAAAGAGACAAAAATAAGAAATGGAAATATTCTGAAATAAGCAAGTTATTTCTCAGCACAATTAATATTAAAATTTTAATGCTACTTACTTGAGAAGATAAATGCACGAAGGGCATATTTAAAACAAAGAAATTCAACTACATAAGAACAGTATACATATATATAGGTGTCTTTGTACCTAGGATCGATGACTGATCTCTGTGGACAATGACACATAAAACTTATTATTGTGTAAAGAATTACTAATTCAGGACACGTCTGTATTGTTTTTGACACTAAGTTCGGGCACGGCTGAATAATAAATTTGCATGAATAATAAAAAAAAAATACTTAAATATTAGCTTCTTGTCCCCCACTTTCACAAAGTGGGAATATTAATTTTGGTCCGCCTGTCCGTCCGTCTGTCCTTTCATTTGTATTTCTGTCTGTCTGTAACACTTTCGTTTCCAGCGATATCTCGAGAAGCTTTTGAGCTCTTGCAATGAAATTTTACACAGCAACTCCCTACAGGGTCTAGGGAAATTTTTGATGTCAAAAGGTTAAAGGTCAAAGTCATAAAGAACTACACATGCTAACTTTCGATTCCCGCCTACATTTTACAACCATTTCATTCAAGATTGATAATTTGGTCATAAAATCTTTGTTAATACAAAGAACAGTTCAACTGTAATTGATTAATTATTTTAATATTTGTGCTAAATAGTAAAATATCCCTATTTCCAGCTTTTGAATTAAGGGGGGGGGGGGGGGAGTTAGACGATATTTTCCACAGAATTCGGGCTATAAAGTTTACTCAGGTGACCTAAAAAAAAAACTATCCAACAGAACAGCAAGTTATTGTATTCAAACCCTGTGAATGATGAAGATGGACTTTTGAGATGTGATGGACGATTGAAATATGCATAATTCTTACCTTATGATGTTAGATACTGTATCCCATCTTTCCTCTGAGACACAATTATGTCACAACTCTTATTATCCAGTAATATCATGAAAAAGGAAAAGGTGTATTGAACAGGAACAAATCATACTCTGTTTTTTATCTTATCGCGATTTTGGATAATATCCGATAGAGAGGAGATTCGGAAATTGGAGCGACCGTGCAATAAATGTTGTCGCAACAAAGCTAAACCAGCAGAGCAACTGATGGGTCCTCTTCCATCAATTTCTACCAATATGTATCATTAATACAGAACGAAATTGCTACTTTTTTAAGTATGAAGGATGAAGTTAAAAGTGTAGTTGTGAAGGAACTGCGTCTACAAATTCAGAGTTTCAATAACTTCCAGAAAAAATAAGATTTTTATTATATTTTCGTATGAAATGCTATAGCAACATATAAGTCATGAAATGATACAGAAAATTTGAGAAAATATTAACATCAAATTTGTGTTCATAAGCACCTTTAAGCGGGGCACACATTCTCTGAATTAGCTTGTTCTAGTATTTATCATAATGGCACATTTGGCTCTCTCTAAAACCCGTGGCTTCCGACGGATTGGGTTAAAAAGCGGAATGGAGTGAAGACTGTACATATAAAAGTTTCAAAAGTTTTCTCTTAAATGCAATATCTTCGCAACCACATTTTTAGTAGTTTTGAGTGAAACAGGAAATATTCGATTCAATCAGAAAAACTAGTGACCCTAACCTGTTTAATGTCAGACAACGGATTTACCTAAATTTTTTCATGACAAAGACTAGTCAAGGGGGGGGGGGGGCTCTGATAAAAGATAACTGTCCCAGTAAGAAAAATAATGATAATAATCATAGTTTACTTTATGTGAGTATAATATTCAGACCTATTCAGTTGAAAATCAACTCGATCATCAAATCTAAGATGGGGCGGGGTCTTGAATTTTCAATTTATAAAATTATATTTTTGAGTGAAAATTGCATGGTTTAAATTCATTTTCCTTTATAAGCTAGAAATTGTACGCTTACTAAAATTTTAACCCATCAAATAATCTAAAGAAGGTGATAGTTTTCAATTAGAGTAAGAAAGATTTCCCTACAATTATCATTAAAATGAAACAAAAAGTTTTATTTAGATGTCATACCCGCCTTTAACCAAATTCATAATTTTGTAGTCACTTTTTATGTTAATAAGAAGTTTGCATGCAAATTTTGTTGTGGGTTAAAGGTGGTTATGACATATGTAGGAGTTACCAAACGTACCTACCCTCTAGCCATTACCCTAATGCTAATTAAACTTTGTGACCCTAAATCATAACAAATACTACAGAACCAAACAACATTTATCACTAAATTGGATTATTAATTTATTCTTATGATTCAAGCAATTTTTAAGTGAAAAAAATATTACCTTAAATTTTAATTTGAAGTCGCTGTACAACGGAAAACAGTCTTACAGAGAATGAACCATTCGCTTAATTTATTCCTCCTTTGATTTCATCTTAAGATGTGACTCGAGATACAAGATGATATCTGGATAGGATATCTGAAAACCGTGTAATACTGACATTATATTGCCAAATCACTGCATTTAAAGAAATCCTATGTTAACATTTATTTACCTTGCTATTAGTTGACATAAGTGATCAAAGCATTTTAAGTTGCATGTTAAATCAGTTAAAAACTTACCTACCGTGGTCTAAAGAACTGTTCGCAACTTTTGACAGATTCACATTTCTATGTTCCTTTTCGTTTCGACCGGTTTTGAATTTACTGTTAACTTAAGACTTTTCTTTTTTTATTGTGGTATTGAGAGGTATGCGATAATATGATCAACATGTCGTGAAGAGGGTCATTATAATTTGACCATCTCTTTGATTTGGTCCTGCCCCTATAGTATTAAGAGGCTTTGATCGGGTGTCCCCCTACTACTAAGAAGCTTATAAAAATCGTGTGCGGAATTCGAAAAAGTGCATGTATTACTTAGATGACATTGTGTGGGCAGAGAAATGTAAATTAATATCACTTACATGTGTACTTTTAAGGACTAGAGAATTCATAACCATTTGGGGGGGGGGGGGGGGGTTAATTTGGATATTTATGTGAAAAATATATATTTTTCTAAACTAGGAGTAATTGTTATGGATTTCACAATCTGACAGGGCGAAAAAATAAACACGTAAATTGGGGGAAAATCTGTACTTTTTGTCTACTTAATGCGAAAATTCAACATTAGATCAAATTCAGTGATTTTTTTCCCTTGAGCTTAAGTCAAATATTCATCTATATAGATAATGCTAGTAGGAAAGTGACATACGTACTAAATACAACTGAGATAAGATTTTTGCTAATGAAGTGAAAACAAATTTAAATTGTACATTAAAATGCAATTACGTTATAGATTTTAAAACTCTTGAAACGATAACCGTTACCAACTATTTAAAAGAATTTGGTAAATTAAGTACATATTTTAAGTACTGTATAGAAATTTTTTATTTTATTTATTTATTTATTTATTTGAAAATACTTTAATATGAAAAACCAGGACAATCGGGTAATTCTCGCAAAATTCAGAATTAGTTATCATTGCTTTAGAGTAGAAACAGAAACTTAATAAACTGGATAAAAATAAAATTCTCCCCAGGTGTGAGAGTCTGTCGTTACTGCACCTCAAGTCCGGCTGAGGATGAATTGCATTTTTTGCTACAACGCATTCCATCAACTACAAAGAGCTTAGTTCATTAATTTTTTTTAATATGGAAAATCAGGCATGACGATTCAGACGAAACCAATTAACATCTTCCATGGCGCCATCATATCTTTAAAAAATCAGTTGTCTTCGTACAACACCAGAGTGAAGATTTTTTTTACCTCATGTGAAAGTATGTCAAGCAGACACTTTTTATTATAATGGCATTATGCACTGGAACTTTTTACCAGTCTCAATTAAATGTACTAAAGGAAAGAGTCAGTGCTTTTAAGAAACAATTAGCTGCAGATCTGTAGCTCGCTGGTCTGAAAAATAATTGGAATTGACGACCAGAGAGCTACAGTGGTACCCATTGAAAAAAGTGTACTTAGGATATTTATTGCGCAACAAAAAATGCGTTGTATCTGATTCTCGAATAATTTCTCCGTATATAACAATGTACTACTAACATACAGGCGAACGAATTTTTCATGGACTCAATTTTAGGCCCCGGAGGGTTATTGTGAAAAATATACACTTTTTTACATGGGTGGCACTGTAGCTCTTTGGTCGTCCATCCCTTTTTTTCAGCTCTTTGGCTAAGGAACAAGTCCATCCCTTTTTTTGAAAACATTTTTTATAATTATTTTGACCAGCAAGCTACAGATCTGCAGCTAAGAAACAAGTGAAGTGTGATTATCTTCAAAAGGGCAATTTAGAACATGAAAGTAATATGCTTCATACCTAATTTTTAAAAACATTTTTTATAATTATTTTGATAAGTTCCATCAATATTATCATCCAATGTAAATCCTATTCGATTTTTATGCAGCACAGAACTTAAATTATAGACCCAAACAATTTTTATGGTGCTTTAGTTATAAAGCTTTGTATTGGTATCATAATTTTATTCAAGATAGGACCCCATTGGAAATAAGCTCTCATTTTTTAATTGGTTATCCTGGTATCAATCTAGTCGCAGTTTCTATTAAAAATATGGTTACCTGAATATTTATATATTCACAAATCTATATAAAATTTCTGTATTCCCAAATATTGTCTTTCTGTAATAATCATTTATACACTGTAATTTGTTCTATGCATGACGATATAATAGCAAATAAATTATGAAGGTGATGATCAGGCTACTACAGTATTTTAAAAAGTAAAAGCACTATGAAAATAATTATGAGAAAACAAGAAAAATTATTTTCATATTGTATTGTGTCATGTGGTATGCATGTCAGCATCGGTCATCAGTTGTTTTTCGACTGTTAAATGGAGTGCAGGTGTAGATAAATATTTAATGGAGTGTTCTCAAGTATCTGCACGGCCCGGTTTTATTTTTTTAAGGCCCATTGATCTATAGAATTTTTGTTTTCGCAATTCTTATATTCATATTCTTATATTCATTTCACAGCATGTATATTTCACAACCTGTGCACTTTAAATATAAGAGGGGTGATCAAAAAGTTCGAAAACTACATTGAATTACTTCCATCATCTTCCCAAGTCAAGAGTTTCTGATCCGCTCCGCTCCACATAAACTTTGCAGCGGAGCGGAGCAGAAACTCTTGATTGGGGAAGATGTACTTCCATGAGAGAAATGAAATTTGATTTCAATGTCCAGGTGCGGATCTAGACTGGAAAAACCCACCCCCACCCCACCCCTCCTCAAAATATGGAGTTTCTCAAAGGTCAACCCAATTAAATCCTATTTCGGGGGCGGGGTGGGTTTTGAGTTAGATTCAACTTCTTCTATAAAATCAAATTTAAATTTTCTTCCTACTATACGTACTACATTAACTTATTTGACCTTTACCAAAAAGGGAACATAGTTTTTTTAGTTTTCTTACCAACCACTCGTAGCGAACACTACGCCACCTAGCGTTATAATGCCGCACTAAATTTTGATTTTTTTCGTCTTCATTGAATATGCTTCATTGTTAGCCGGGGGGTCAAAGTGAAATGTAATAAAGACGAATATGAAAACAATAAAGTGACATATAATTACAATAATAACAAAGCATAAAGAAGTAGGCAGAATAAGAATAAAAGCAAGATACATAGACTTTTGGCGGTAATTCCCTTCCATATTAAATGGAGTGCAGGTGTAGATAAATATTTAATGGAGTGTTCTCAAGTATCCGCACGGCCCAGTTTTATTTTTTAAGGCCCATTGGGGGGGAACTCCAGTCAAAAAAAAATCCAACCCATAAATTTCCTGACAAGCAAATTAAAAACTTCATAACTTATGATTTTCGTACCAATTTCACATAGATTTGCGTTTCTGAGGACAAATCTGCGTTGTCTAGGGGTCCAATGTCACTTTTACTTGGTTTAGTATAAACAATAACGCTG